TCGGTGAAGTCGATGAATATAGTGTGTATGGACAGACACAAAAAGAGCAGATGTTTACACTTGAGTGAGTTTTTATGTAAATGACTCAAAGGCTTTTTCGTAAGAACACGGCACTAGGTGACTATTTAAAGATATAGAAAAATAATGTGTTTACAATACTTTTTTAGTTTTGCATGATAGACAAACATACAACCAAACATTATTTAGATTTATTTTTACAGGGTAACAAACTGATCTAGTGGTATAGAAGTTTCAAAAAGTAAAAGAATATTATGTAACGACATTAAAGAAAAAGAAGTGTTACTTTGCACTCATTCGACCTTAAAAATGGCTGTAAGAACATAATTGTTTCTAATTTAAAATGTTCTCACTCGGTTCAGAATGTTAATTATTTAAACTTTTTCTTATTAGACGGAAGCAATTCATAACTCAAAAGGATAGACTCAACGAAATATACGAACAAACACGTTTTACGAACATGACTTGTGTATAAAAGAGTTATCGCAGCTTTTGATTGGTGTCGAGAGCAAGATAAAAAAAAACGTTTAAATAAAGAACAATGGTTAGCGAATGAATTTTTGCTGGATGGCAGTGATTAACAGATCTTACCATCATGACCCCTGGCTACTACCAATTTTACCGACTTCAAAAAGGAGGCAGTTCTCGTTTCGGTTTCTTATCCCATTTTACGTTCATAGACATTGTTCCTTTGATTTCGAAGATTCACCGGGGAACCCCTCAAAGTCATAGGGCATGTATAGCGAGATATTTGAAATCGATTTTTCTGGTTTATAAAATTATATGTTGATCTATTATATTCTGTACACCATGTAAATAGTTTCGCTTTTTATTGTTTGAAAAAAAAAAACAATTCATATACATAATAAGTACATATTATCGCTAATTCCTCTTCACTTCACACAACTATCCAAACACTGGAAAGTTCACGATAAATAGAAACCAAGACGGTACATCGTTACGAAAAGTAATTTACGGATTTTATCGCATTTAATTTTACATCCAAACGTAGGTACCGTCGATGTTAACGCAACAACGTCGGGAATTTAGACGTTGTGAGGGCCCTTACGTGGGGGATTCCCTCGGTTTATGTATAAGGACTTGAAAATAAATAGCGAAATTAAATATAGCGTATAATTTACAATTTAAAGGTAGATGTTACGGCGGTGGTAGCCAACAGAGAATTGGCCGAATGCGAAGATGGCGTACAAAACTTAGTCGAGGTGGTGTGATGGACTTTGGGCTGTGACGTGTTTTCTAAATTCCAACTACCGGCGTTAACAGACGTTTAGCATTCGCGCAAATACAAGAAACCATTACACGACTAAATAATTGGGCAACCTGAGACATTAATAAGGCCGGCCGCGGCCGAACTGCGATCAGCCGCGCCGGAATGCAATTGGACAATGCGGGGACGCGTCTTGATGGATGGGATCCAATAAATTGTTGACTTAGCCGCCTCTGCATGCGGTAGGGGCCTTTGGATGCCTTCACGCTTAATACTCCGTGTGGCTCCACACGTGCACGTCGCCGCGTATTAATTTTCGAGCGCATATTTCCGTGGTGCACGTTGTTCTGGCGTGACAGCTTTGTACCTAAGTTTATTTAGATATAGCAATTAGAGATTCGACGATTAGTTATTCGGCCTATTTGTTATGAAGTTATACTTCTTTTGGCGCGTTAGGAAAAAATATATTTGTGTAAGATCCAACCGCACAGACATGAGATTAACAACATGAAAGTAGTCGATAATCCCTTCAATTGTATCGGACATCAATTTCACTAACACAACATTACTAACCTCATGGTGTGAACAACGACAACTTTATGATATCAACATGGCAACCCATAACACACTATTGTCATTTACCTGTAATGCCATGTTATTTAATTAAACGGTTATCGATTGCATTTGATAGTTGTTTTTCAATCAAAGATTACTGGCACACGGGATAAAATCTTGTGTTACAATAGAGAAGACATACAAACACGTTCGTTTATTAGTTGCACAGGTTTTGTACAGTGGAAGACCAAATAACGTCGTGTAAAAATACCTCCTGATGTATTTAATTTCATATTCTTAAGTTTTATGTTCTTATTCAGACTAAAACGCATCGAGTTAAAGTTTCGCCCAACGTTAACTCGTCACGGCTGTGTGCGTGATTTTTTGCGGCCCACAAGAGATTATTATTAATGCCAACAGGGCTACGGGGTCCGGAACGAATCGGCTTTTTTTACACGAAACGCTTTAATTCGACCCCGGATTCGGTCGTGATTAATCAGAGGTGCATTCGTTGCCGTTAGGGGTCGGTCATTGTTAATGGCGTATCTGTTGAATGGCAGACCCTTGGGTTTGCGCGATAATTACTTATAAGGACTCTCATGGAATTTAATAAAACATACAACTCAACATACAATGTTTGCGAAGAATGAAGTGTTTAATGAAGTGTATGTCACAATGATTTTTTTTGGGAGACAATCGATCAAGCGAGGCCCTTGATCGTAAATGAGTTTTCCACTTAATTCATCTTAATTCTGATTAATAAGAAGACATCACTCCTTCTCATTTAAATAGACCGTGGCTGTGGAGATCGACTCGCGTTTTGCGGTCGCGGCTTCAAATCTAGTGCAACAATGGCTTCCGCTTCCAAAAAATCTATTCGGTTTGTAGATGCAACTGTGTCAACAGAAACCAGACAAACTGTTTTAACGCCATGCAACTGAGTGATGATGCACAATGAGCCGCATAAGAGCTTGGAGAAGACCATCGTGAAGATTTCAGAGAGTGCGGTTGCATTAAATATGCCTAAGTGTTTCCCGCACATCTGAATATAGTTCAGTGAAGAGCGCACTCTGCTTGTTAATTTACAGGACGCATTACTAACATCAATCGTTTTTTTACGTGATTAATTGCCCGACGTGCAAGCGGGTCAACAGATGTTAAATGCCAGCGCCCGTACACCTACATGGGGGCTGTAGCAGATGCGTTTCCAACTTTACTATAGGCGAACAATACCTATGTTTATAAGAGTTCTAACGATTTTACCTTGATCCTAATATTTTAACAATTACTGAACTTGAATATTAACAACTATTATAACGACAAGCAGCACTAGTGGTTATATCACCGTCCGGGAACGCAGTCGAAATCCAAGTGACCGCTGCTCCATGCGACCATGTGTTGCCAGCGCCAACATGTTGACGCGAAACTCAAAGGTAAAATACTTCCTCTTCACGCAATTGTTCTGTGAGGCCTTTTTACCTGCCTGGACAAGCCTGTGTGTTAATGCAACAGCAGAGCTCTCATTATGCATTAGCACAAATGGGCAGACGTGTCCGGGAAAGTAACACGGCCTCGCCAGGCCTCGGCAGGCCTCGGCCAGGAGATCGGCGTGAACTGGAAATATACATACGCGTTTCGTCTAATAAGTGAGGTAACCGGAGCCCACTTTTTAGGGTTCCGACGCCCCAGGATAAAACATGACGGTCTCTATCTCATGAACCGTGATAGTTAGACAGTTGAAATTTTCACAGATGACGCAATTCTTTTGCCGCTATGACAACAAAACAGAATAAAAAATATTTAAGCGGGGCTCCCATACAACAGACTATATTTTTGCCGTTTTTAACATAATGGTATCGAAACCTTCGTGCGCGAGGCCGACTCGCACTTGGCCGGTTTTTTTAAGGTTTTCAATCCGTCTGCAAGCCGCTCTACTGCATTGAATATTTGCAGTCCTATCCTTATCCTAGTATATATTATATCTGTGTAATGTCACAACGAAAATAAAACTGCGTCGTCTGCACCGACCGCAAGTACAAACAATCGATTGATGCGTTCCCGTAATAGATTGGGCGTCGCTTCTATTGTTGGACGGCGGATTCCGAGCATTGTCAGTCGGAAGGTCGGACGGCGATTTCCCGACGGGACTTGGAATTCGGAGGACGTCCTACCTCGCAGACGGCTCCATTAGCGGCCGAAAGTTTCGGTAAGTACAGGAGTCGGAGCTATGCGCCGAGGATATTCAGACATTTGTGTTCCATACGATCCAATGAACGCCGAGATACAATTGTCTTTAGTGAATGCAATTCGGTAACTAGCAACGAAATTACTGGGTGCACTTTGTTTTACATTCTATCAACATAGTTGTTACATGAAGCAAAAAGGAAAGTAAAATAACAGCCTATATATCAAATTTAAATTTTTTTATAGCGCAAATCTCTCACTTAAGATTAAACATTAAAATTTGTAGAAAAAGCACGAAAAGATTGTCGCTGCTGTTTGTATGCTGGAAAGGATATAAGGAAAAGATATCATGGATGCGCCAAGCATTGCTTCAAATGCTAAAATACAATGTAGATAAAAGACGTTAAGATTTCGTCGGTGTGGCAATCAGCCGTTTAGCTTAGTGGATAAAGCGTCAGGCCGGGTTAGATTCCCACAACGCCTCTTCTATCTATCTCTATCTTTTCGTACTTTTCCTACAAATTTTAACGCCTATATATGTCTCACTACGAAGCATCGAAAGCGTCCTCTTTACAGAGGGTATCAGGGCATAGATGATCACGTGACCCTACTGTGGATTAGCGGATTTTACATCTCCGAAATATATTTCTTCAATTATTGTTTGGAATATTTGCTGGTTTCCTTCACCAATTTGATAACGCCATCATCAATGATTAACGGTCATCACTTAAATTCATAATTAACAATTGCATTGGTGCCTGCAACGCGATATTAACTCAGGTTGCTCGAGTGTATGTGCATGAATAAAAAGCGTGCGGCCGGACAGTGAGCTATCACGGCCCAACAGACACAACTATTTCACATTACTTCCACTTAAACAAGCCTTCTTATCCTGAATCTGTAGCAACCGTTGTACGAAGAAAAAAGAAGCGATTCTCATCCGACATAACTCCGCAGCAGATTAGCATAAAGTCAACAGCCGCGACACACAGCCCTACGGCAGGCTCCAAGCGTGATGGTCGAACAACGGATTTTTTCCGACGAGCATCAAAAAAACCACACACGGGCGCGGCGGGCGGTTGTTAACTCGCGCGGTGTCCTTGTTTGTCCTTCGCGCGGCGGACAAAAACACCGGAGCGGGGCAAAAAAGTCGGCCGATTGTGACGTCACCCCACGGGGAGGGCAATTATTCGGCGCCCGGGCGAACATGCACCGGCCGCATATACCGGCTAATTATAGGACCCTCGTATCGAAACTATGGACGCTGCTGTGGCACGGCTAATCTGCATACAGAGGCGGGACGCACGCAGTTTGCTAATTTATCTGTTGTCGATGTGCTAGCAACGTCGAGTGCGGCACAATGATTGGCTGTCTCCATTCAAATGCAAGCGAAGCATGCTTTTGTTATACGCTGTAGTTCGGAAATAAAGTTATTCATTAATAATGATGCAATAACGATGATATACGAGATAGTAACGTTAGTTTTCGTTCTAGAACGTGCCAGTTGACCGACCATGTATCTAACCGAAAGTTTTCGAATTCTGACTGTACACAACTTTTCCCCGAGATGCTTCAGACGTCTGTTTCTGGAAGGATTCGGTAAATGTCTGTGTTAAATGTCACGACAGCTGTAACAATGAATCGCGAATGGCAAAAATTTATTCAAAAAGAAAATTATGTGCAGTAGATGAATTTCATTTAATACATTGCTAAATGCAGCTATATCAATACGGTACACTGAAAGGCGGCACGATAAGAATCAGGGGGTGATTTTTTTTTTAATTTTCTTAAGATAAAATAAAAAAGATTTTACATAGAAAATAAAATCTTAGAAAAACTTTATAAAACACAACAATTTTAACTTATAAATTTGCTGTTGACGAAGACAAATAAATATAAAACACGTATGACGACCAAGTTAATAGTAAACATTATATAACAAATACTGCAGCCCTACAACTGCATAATAGCAAGGGCCACAAAACTCGCTTCCCATACCATACATGGTAGCTTGGGGCGGGTCAATTAAATGCCTTTTATACGTTTAGGCACGACAAGATTAATTCGCGTGGAACATCGATCGATTCGCCGATATAAGGTACCGAGAGGCCACTGAAAAAAACATTTTTAACGCGCCCCGACATACACGTTACTTGCTTTATTTATGGGAAATAACATTATTGTTGTTCTCTCGAATGTCATAGCCAATAAGCCTGATACGCAGCAGGTGTATGCGCAGCCGGCACGCACACTCTACATCACAAAGAGTTTATTAATCTGTACATTAACTACCGTCGGTTCGTTAATTGCATCGCCGCGAATACAGTCCAACTTTACAAGAAAACAGTTTTTACGCGAGAGCACTCAACACTCGCTTTTTAAAGTCCGTAGCAATTTATAGCGCACAAAAACACCGAGGTGATGACTTGATCAATGGCCCCCTCCGGTTTAAAAGAAAGAAAAAACATTTTTTTTAATGTTTGTTGCTCGAACAATGTCACTTGCATATTAACAGCGTTACAATGCCCTAGGATTACTAATCGCTTTAACTCACAACGAAGTATCTCACACCAGTAGTAAAATTTTAGTGTTCGGAAACATTAATGATAAAATATGAAGCGACAGTGGCACAGATTGCGTTCCACAGATTAAAAATACATTTCTTTAGCGGCGTTAGTGCCGACCTATGAAGTTCTTCGTAAAATCACAATACGATTTAAATTCGTCCGCGGCAAACAAATATCATGCGTATGTTTACTCTGTTTCGTTTGTTTTTTACACACAGTACGTGTTAAAAGGTAATATTATTTTTTTTTATTATAAAACATTGCCCTTACTTTAGGATAACATTATCCTGTGTTGTAAGGACGTTTTACAAACATAAATTTCACGCGGACAAACACCCAGATGCGAAACAACTATCTGTGGGACACAAATAGTTGTCCCGTGTGGGAATCGAACCCACGACCCCCCACGCCGAAGCCAATACCTTGACAACTACGCCGATTATTACCGATGTTGCTCGTAGATGTGATTGAAATTCGGCATAGGTACGTCATTTATCAATTTCGACGTGAAAAGCGAAGTTAAGGATGCTATGAACTCTCGAAACTAGAGTGCCTTGACCACTACCAATACCTTACGAATTTTGAAAACGCAGGTAAACTGGGGCGAGATCATAAAATTGAATAAAAACACTTTTTTTTTTCGCTTCGTAATTATTAAAAGAGGAAACGAATATAATTATGATAATAAAATAATGATTTTAAAACTGGACAAAGATACATTAATAACATAGTATGTGGGTAGTCTATGCTTAAGCATAGATAGATGTAATAAATTTAAAAAAACTTTTTCCGCTAACTCTGCTATCTTACCGCTATTATCTTTCCGTTGTATCATCTTATTAATTATTATAAAAGCTGTAGTGACGTAATAACGTCAAGATATAATAGCACGTAACAACATTCAATTATACCGTGACCATTCTTTTACCTCACGTTCCCTTAAGGGGCAAAAAAAGTCAAGGGGTGGGGTTCCGTTTTAAATATGAGTTACATATTTAATTAATAATTTGAATCTCACCATCATTTCAGCCTTTTCGAGTCCACCGCTAAATATAAGCAAAATCCTAAACCACCTGCATCCACTAACTGCCCATACATCAGAATCTCAATTTCGATATGAAATTATAGGAATAACTCCTACAGCTCGTTATTGAGGGGGGACGGGAGGTTACAAATTACTTGCTTACGCTTATAAAGGGGTAAAGAAGGTCTGAAATCATTTATAGTTAGCTTTGTATAAAAATATAGCAGCAAAAGAAAAACAAAACGGGGCAAGTTACGGTGGTAGGGCCACGCAGCAGCCTCGGCTGTTGCACGAATGGGCAGGGTCGTCCGGGTAAGTACCACGACCTCACAGAAGACCGGCGTAAAGTGGAAGTATAATACTTTCGCGTTTCATCTGGTGAGTGAGGTGGCCGGAGCCTAATTTCCAAAAGGTTGTCAACACATCTGGAACCTTCGAGTGTAGCAGATGTCCATGGGCGGCGGTATTGACTTAATATCAGGTTAACCGTCTGCTCGTTTGGCAAGTTATCACATAAAGAAAAAAAAAAAAAACAGGACGTTTGTTAAGTTCGTCAATCTCGTTCATACGATACCTAGGCGTTGTTACTATTTACCAAAGTACTAAGCACAGCTACCATATAATCGTATTAAGTCGTTAAGGTTATCATATCTGGGTCATGGTATTCTGGTGATAAATCTCTATACTTCTACAATTTATACATTTAGTTGTACCATGCACTGGGATAGACACAAACAATTTTAAAGACTTCATGTTTTCGAATAATTAACAGCTAACTTTTTCAATCCCACTGACTACGGGGGTTTAAAAATGAATTATAAAATAGAAAAATTAAGTTAAAAATTAGTTATATCTCACAAGACGTTCAGTGTTAATGAAATCATAAAAGCAAAAGGTAATAATAAAGTTTATGCACACAGTTACCTTTATAAAAACTGCTAATAAATTACAAAGTGCTTGTAACAATTTAAAAATTATTGAAACTAACTTAGCGAAAAGCCCTTCGCAACATATGACGATGACAATGAAACGAAACCTGTTTATTTTGTATATAAAAGTATTTTTAGATCGCATCACATTTATTTCATTGAATTGCCAACGTTTTGATAACTTCACAGAATCATAACCAAAACAAATTTATACGTATAACAATTTTATTTAACAACTTATCACTACATAGTATAACTAGAAACAAAAGTCGTCCCGCTGTCTGTTTGTCCCTATGTATGCTTAGAACTTTAAAATTACGCATCGGATCTTAATGCGGTTTTTTACTAGATAGTGATCCAAGAGGAAGGTTTATATGTATAATCCATTGCACCCGTGCGAAACCGGTGCAGGTCGTTAGTCTACTACACAGAAATTTCTCAAGGTACTTAGCAAAACTCAGCGGCACAGTTGTTAAGCTGCTCGCTTCTTCGCCGGGGGTCGTGAGTTCGACTCCCACACGGGACAAGTATTGGTTGACCCACAGATAATTCTTCCAGATCTGGGTATTTGTTCCCAAGGAGGGTCGTAAAAAACGTAGCCAATACATAACAACATGGGCATGTTATGGGATACGCCGGGGGATAAGGGGTGCTTAAGCTTTCTTAAGCACCCCTTCTCACTCTTAATACGGAATTAACTTTTAGTTGAAAGTCCGGATCACGAAGCGAAACTTCGCCCGCGCCTCCCCTGCGGCGAAAACTTCGAGCTGTGCGCGTACAGACAGACACGCAGACACGTCTTCCGTCGGCCACTTAGCAGTCGGCCGGTCCAGTGCCGGCGTCCGATAATTGTGTTAGCACGGAACCAGTTCCAGGGCGTCATTAGGCCACCTTCACACGGCAGGTGGAGGCAAGCTCGACAATGTTTGCGCTGCACAAAGAGGAGGTCGAACTTTATTGCTTTCGCATAATTAATATTAATGTCATTGAGCATCAGTTGATGTAATAAAAATAAAAAAATAAACTAAAAAAAACTATAAGCTCAACCTGTGTTTATGCAGTCACATAAAAGTTAATAAAAAACAACGAGAAACAGAATACTAATTAATTAATAAAATAATAATTAATATTCAAAACAATAAGTAAAACCTTATCAAAATAACAATAACTAATAACAAAACTTGAACATAATATAAATTTTACCTTATGTTGGCATACCTGAAACTAGAAGAGTGGATAGAGAATGAAGATTTCTTCTTTCTACGATTCTTTCACACATCTTAATGATTTGCTGTTTTTCTTCCAGTTTATGAAGTTACGCTTACAATCTACTCTAATTATGAATAATAATACTAGTCTGATAATACTAGGTTTCTATGCAAAATTAAACATAACCAATGCCGAATCTAATGGTTAGAAAAACTAACGATGTTTGTTTTTATCTAAAATCTAAATAAGTTCATACACTAACGGCATATTATGAGAGCGAGTATGTGCATTAGAAGTATAACAATTTATTCACTATTGAGTCCATATAGAAACGGACCTCAAATGAAATTTAACAGTTGTATATCATCTATGTACAGTGCATTGTTGCCATGCGCAGAGGATTTGCAATTTGATGTAACTTCTTAACGTAACTTTTTAGGTGGGTCCAAACGGACACGAGAGGAAAGCCTTAACTTGCAGTTCAATGAGGAAAAGGCGCACTTTAAGTTAACTTGCCATCTTTTAGCATATACAGAACTAGCAACCCGAA